CTGTTAGCTGTACCATACACCACAGCCAGACACAGAATGTTGGACTGTTTGCTGTACTGTTAGCTGTACATAACACCACTGCCAGAGCGCAGAATACACCACAGCCAGACACACAATGTTGGACTGTTAGCTGTACCATACACCACAGCCAGACACACAATGTTGGACTGTTAGCTGTACCATACACCACAGCCAGACACAGAAATGTTGGACTGTTAGCTGTACCACAGCCAAACCACAGCCAGACACAGAATGTTGGACTGGATACTGCCAGCACACAGAATGTTGGACTGTTAGCTGTACCATACACCACAGCCAGACACATAATGTTGGACTGTTAGGTGTACCATAAACCATAGCCAGACACAGAATGTTGGACTGTTAGCTGTACCATACACCATAGCCAGACACAGAATGTTGGACTGTTAGCTGTACCATACACCATAGCCAGACACAGAATGTTGGACTGTTAGCTGTACCATAAACCACAGCCAGACACAGAATGTTGGACTGTTTGCTGGCACCATGGCAAGCAGCTCTAAAAGAAATGACTCAATGAAAGAGAAGGCTCATGACAGACAGGACAAATGAACTATGAGCAGATAATGTACACACATGGAACTAAGTTTACCTCCTCTATTGTCCATAAGTATGTGGGTGTATATGTGTGTATTTAGGTATGTATGAATGTATTTGTGTAAAGATGTGAGTGTATGTATGTGTGTACATATGCATGTATGTGTATGCATGCATGTATGTCTGAATATATGTATGCATGTATGTCTGAATATATGTATGCATGTATGTATGCATATATATGGGTGTATGTATTCATGTAAGTGTAAATGTGTGGTTTTGGGCATATGTTGCTGTCTGTACATGTGATAGTATGCATGGGTGCATGAATAGATGTGTATGAATGGAATGTGTGTGTGCATGTATATCCATAAATGTATGAGTGTGTGTTTTCTGTTTGTGCATTTATGTCTATGTATGTGTATGCTTGTATATGTATGTAGATGCATGTGTGTATGTATCACTTATGTCTGTATATGAGTTTGCATGTATGAGAATGTAGGAGTATGTATACATGTGTGTGAGTGTGTACGATCGTGTACATATGATGTGTGTATGCATTATACTATAATTTATATTTCTTTATTATATCCATAACATGCATTATTGATAACAGGTATTGGTACTCTGAAAAATGAGTGCTTAGAAGGGCAGAATGTCAGACGGGCCTGCGTGCCCAATATGTAACCCTTTGAAAATAAAGTTTGTTCGTTCAATAAAACCTTCCACTACTCTGACTGAGAAACTTTCTTTCAGTTCGCATGTGTCGAACAATACATATTTTGAATGAATGAATGAATTTCTACCCCACCAGGACATCACACAAGCGATAAACACCCGATGACACAAAGTGCCACCATGTGGGTGAGGATCACCGTAGAGAGGTCCCAGAAACCGCGCTCAGACAATTGGCCATATTTATGGCCTGCCTATTATGCGGCCCCTGGCAAAAGCCAGAGTGGGGCTTCAAATAACAAAAAATTACGTCCTGAAAAAGGACGTAAGGATAGCCAATAAATCTTTTGTGGTCTGATAAGAGGGGCTTTTTCTAGGGGCTCTGTGTTATAGCTAAGCACTATTTTAATTTAGGTTTTTACTCCAGATTGATTATAGTCTTTGAGTTTTAATTTCTGTCTGAGCTTATAAAGCTTTCTAGTAGCAATGTACACACTGTCACTGGTGATTGTGTTCTTGTCAAACTGCTCTTTCTCACTCTGACCACATGTACCACGCAGTGAAAGCCACTAACGGGGTAATTTCCCCTATGTGTGCCATCCAACAAGTGTTACCTCCCCTGTCAATGACATAGAGAACACACAAACAAAAGATACTGGTTCATACCTCCAACTGCATCATAGATCTCTCCACCCGTCTCCGGTTTTCTCTTTCCAGCTTTGACCTCAGATTCAAGGCACACACAGACACATTCCAGTTGTTGGTGTGAGACAGGAGAAACTGAAACCAACACCAGCATGGTTCCATGGACACAGCTCAAGATCATTCTAGAGTAATCTCACCATAGATCATTCTAGAGTTATCTCACCATAGATCATTCTAGAGTAATCTCACCATAGATCATTCTAGAGTAATCTCACCATAGATCATAAAGTACCATCAGTCTCCTGGGGACTGGGGGGAGGGGGAACTTTAGAGCTATCCTTTCTCTTTTACAGTTTTACAAAACTGCCCCAGGATACTGTTTAGTCTTTCCTCTTCTTCACTGGGATGTAGATGTCTCTTATGATACCGTTTTCTGTCTTTTCTCTTTAATCCTGTTTTACAAAAAAACCTCAGAGAACGGTTGAGTTTGTCCTGTTCTGTGCTGGGCGCAGAAGTTTATAATGACATGGTTAAATCTGTCCTCTTCTACGCTGAGTGTGGAGGTATGTTTGGTCAAGTCTTTATGTAAGGCTCTATTTACATATGTGAGAAGACAGACTCTACTCATTTAAATGTAATTAGGTAGGCAGACAATAATGTAACAGGCAGATAATGTAGCAACAGGCAGACAATAATGTAACAACACATTAAAATAGATGACAAATCAGACCAGTAAACAGCAATATGTGCGAGAGGCAGATAACTATCTGGTAATATATATCTGACAGGACAGACAATGTACTCATACGTGTACAATAATATATGTGTGTGTGTGTGTGTGGGGGGGGGGGGAGAGAAGGTAGAAAATAATGCTAATACAAATGTGACAAGTGGACAAGAATCTACTAACATAAACGTGAAAAACCAAAGAACAACATACAGATATATACGTAAGAACTTCTTCATCTGTCAACCTCTCCTGAGCTCGACTGCGTCTGTAACTCTCCCTAAAGGTGAAAGAAAAGCCATCAATTGTGTCACAAAATGATAATCTTCTTTTTTCTTCTGCTTTCATCTTTAAAAGGGTGGTTGGGACACTGTTGCGGTTTACAGCTGGGCTGCAATATCTGAATATCTTGACACAAAACATCTGATTTCAGCAAAGTCCTTATTAATCACATTTTCTGACATGACTTTAAGGGAGCAGTGGATCTTTTCTTTCTCCCAGGAAAAGAATCCTTTGCGTGTGGAAAGTGTTTTAGGAAACGCCAGACCACCAGGTCTGCTGACAGGTCTTTTACTGAGATCACAAGTGGATGTAGAACAGGTCTTTCACTGAGATCACAAGTGGATGTAGGATGTAGAACAGGTCTTTCACTGAGATCACAAGTGGATGCAGAACAGGTCTTTCACTGAGATCACAAGTGGATGTAGAACAGGTCTTTCACTGAGATCACAAGTGGATGTAGAACAGGTCTTTTACTGAGATCACAAGTGGATGTAGAACAGGTCTTTTACTGAGATCACAAGTGGATGTAGAACAGGTCTTCCACTGAGATCACAAGTGGATGTAGAACAGGTCTTTCATTGAGATCACAAGTGGATGTAGAACAGGTCTTCCACTGAGATCACAAGTGGATGTAGAACAGGTCTTTCATTGAGATCACAAGTGGATGTAGAACAGGTCTTTTACTGAGATCACAAGTGGATGTAGAACAGGTCTTTTACTGAGATCACAAGTGGATGTAGAACAGGTCTTTTACTGAGATCACAAGTGGATGTAGAACAGGTCTTTTACTGAGATCACAAGTGGATGTAGAACAGGTCTTTTACTGAGATCACAAGTGGATGTAGAACAGGTCTTTTACTGAGATCACAAGTGGATGTAGAACAGGTCTTCCACTGAGATCACAAGTGGATGTAGAACAGGTCTTTTACTGAGATCACAAGTGGATGTAGAACAGGTCTTCCACTGAGATCACAAGTGGATGTAGAACAGGTCTTTCATTGAGATCACAAGTGGATGTAGAACAGGTCTTCCACTGAGATCACAAGTGGATGTAGAACAGGTCTTCCACTGAGATCACAAGTGGATGTAGAACAGGTCTTTTACTGAGATCACAAGTGGATGTAGAACAAGTCTTTCACTGAGATCACAAGTGGATGTAGAACAAGTCTTTCAGTGAGATCACAAGTGCTGGTGTCCGTTTCTGACACTAAACTCTCATTTTCTGATGCCGGAGTCAAGGAGACTCTTGGACTCACAGTGCTTATCATTGGTTATCTTCTTTCTATTTCTATGGAATCTTACATCTTATGTACAAAGACTGACTGATCATTGGTCATCTTCTTTCTATTTCTATGGAATCTAACATCTTATGTACAAAGACTGACTGATCATTGGTCATCTTCTTTCTATTTCTATGGAATCTTACATCTTATGTACAAAGACTGACTGATCATTGGTCATCTTCTTTCTATTTCTATGGAATCTTACATCTTATGTACAAAGACTGACTGATCATTGGTCATCTTCTTTCTATTTCTATGGAATCTTACATCTTGTGTACAAAGACTGACTGATCATTGGTCATCTTTTTTCTATTTCTATGTAATCTTACATCTTATGTACAAAGACTGACTGATCATTGGTCATCTTCTGTCCATTTCTATGGAATCTTATATCTTATGTACAAAGACTGGCTGATCATTGGTCATCTTCTGTCTAGTTCTATGGAATCTTACATCTTATGTACAAAGACTGACTGATCATTGGTCATCTTCTTTCTATTTCTATGGAATCTTACATCTTATGTACAAAGACTGACTGATCATTGGTCATCTTTTGTCCATTTCTATGGAATCTTACATCTTATGTACAAAGACTGACTGATCATTGGTCATCTTCTGTCCATTTCTATGGAATCTTACATCTTATGTACAAAGACTGGCTGATCATTGGTCATCTTCTGTCTAGTTCTATGGAATCTTACATCTTATGTACAAAGACTGACTGATCATTGGTCATCTTTTTTCTATTTCTATGGAATCTTACATCTTATGTACAAAGACTGACTGATCATTGGTCATCTTCTGTCTAGTTCTATGGAATCTTACATCTTATGTACAAAGACTGACTGATCATTTGTGGTAGGGGTGGATTGGAGGTGCACTTTGAGCAATTCATTGGATACACAATGGGAGGGCTGAAATACAAGAAAATGCTATAGTACTCAGACTGATATCAAGTCTACAGTACTTACACTGATATCAAGTCTACAGTACTCACACTGATATCAAGTTTACAGTACTAACAATGATATCAAGTGTACAGTACTTACTTTGATCCAACAATTAACATCAGATATCAAGTGTACAGTACTTACTTTGATCCAACAATCAACATCAAATATCAAGTCTACAGTACTTACATTGAAATTAGGTCTACAGTCCTTACACTGATATCAAGTCTACAGTTCTCACACTGATATCAAGTCTACAGTTCTCACACTGATATCAAGTCTACAGTCCTTACACTGATATCAAGTCTACAGTTCTCACACTGATATCAAGTCTACAGTCCTTACACTGATATCAAGTCTACAGTCCTTACACTGATATCAAGTCTACAGTCCTTACATTGATATCAAGTCTACAGTACTTACACTGAAATCAAGTCTACAGTACTTACATTGATATCAAGTCTACAGTACTTACATTGATATCAAGTCTGCAGTACTTACATTGATATCAAGTCTACAGTACTTACACTGAAATCAAGTCTACAGTACTTACATTGATATCAAGTCTGCAGTACTTACATTGATATCAAGTCTACAGTACTTACACTGATATCAAGTCTACAGTACTTACACTGATATCAAGTCTACAGTACTTACACTGATATCAAGTCTACAGTACTTACACTGATATCAAGTCTACAGTACTTACATCAGTCCAAGAATCAACACTTGTTCAATGGAGGACAACCTGGGGGATACCAGGACTGAATCATCTGCAAACTTGACCTCATTCAAGACAGTATCATCATCAAGTGGCAGGTTCTAGAATGGTAATGAGACAAACAGAATCTTATTTATTTCACACAATCCACAAATAAGTAGCATGATGACAAGAACTCAAAGGCAACAAACTTTAGTTAAAAGAACAATTAAGTTCATTCTTTTTCTTCATGGTCATTGGCTGTGAACTTTAGCGGAAAGTTCTGGTTGTTCGTCCACTTCTCTAAACTTTCATCTTGTTTCAGAACTGGAATTAGTGGACACATTCACTCAACAGATCTGGCTTATCTGTAAGCAGACTGTGGTTTCTTGTCTCTCAGGCAGACGCACTCCGACGCAAGCCCTCCTAATTAGTGACTTTTCAGCTCGCTTGTTTTGAAGACAGTGAGTCTACCACTTCCCCCCCCCCCACCCCCCAATGGGGTTTGGAACCCACACGGAGAAAAAGAGTTTTAAAAACAATAGAAGCTATACAGATTTAAAATTAATAGAAGTTATAGTTTCAAAAATAACAGAAATTACAGAAAAATATGGGCATCTCTAACAGAAATGAACAATGAATTTCAGGACTTAAGACAAGGCTTGCACATTTCTCCCCCTCTCCCCCACCTCCCTCAATTTACTTAGATCTGTAAACATTTTAAAAAAACTTGTGGGTTGCAAGTTATAATTTATGTTATCCTCAAAGCATTCTGCATATGTCAACAGTTCTGATTCTCGTCAACTGGATAAATGTTGTGTTCAGTAAATGTTGTGTTCGATAAATGTTGTGTTCGGTAAATGTTGTGTTCGGTAAATGTTGTGTTCGGTAAATGTTGTGTTCGGTAAATGTTGTGTTCAGTAAATGTTGTGTTCAGTAAATGTTGCGTTCGGTAACTTTGTGCAGTATTTCAGGACCAATTGGACTCCAAAGTAATACAGCAAAAGCAAACATTATGGATCTTAACAGTAGTTCAGTGGACATGAAACTAAACAATCACATCCTTGAAAAAGTCGACAGCTTTACATACCTAAGGAGTAAGATGACATCCTCAGGGGATTCAGCCCCAGAAATATCATTTAGAATCACACTGGCTTCTAGTGCCTTTTCAAACATCTGGAGGTCAATGACACCCAGCAAACACACAAAACTTACAATCTTCAACTCTTGTGTGATTCCAGTGCTACCTTATGAATGCGAGAGAAAGAAAGCAACAGTAGCTCTTGATAAAAAAATTAGACAATTTTGAGAACTGATGTCTTAGAAGAATACTGAATATCCACTGGACAGATTTCAGATCATATACGCAAATAGAACAAGAGACCAAGCAAGAAAATGTACCAAATTTTATCAGAAACTGACGCTAGAATTATATCCGCCATGCACACAGAATGGATAAGTAAAGACTTCCCCATCAAGCCCTTATATGGACACAGGAAGGGATAAGTAAAGACTTCCCCATCAAGCCCTTATATGGACACAGGAAGGGATAAGTAAAGACTTCCCCATCAAGCCCTTATATGGACACAGGAAGGGATAAGTCAAGACTTCCCCATCAAGCCCTTATATGGACACAGGAAGGGATAAGTAAAGACTTCCCCATCAAGCCCTTATATGGACACAGGAAGGGATAAGTAAAGACATCCCCATCAAGCATTTATATGGACACAGGAAGGGATAAGTCAAGACTTCCCCATCAAGCCCTTATATGGACACAGGAAGGGATAAGTCAAGACTTCCCCATCAAGCCCTTATATGGACACAGGAAGGGATAAGTCAAGACTTCCCCATCAAGCCCTTATATGGACACAGGAAGGGATAAGTCAAGACTTCCCCATCAAGCCCTTATATGGACACAGGAAGGGATAAGTCAAGACTTCCCCATCAAGCCCTTATATGGACACAGGAAGGGATAAGTCAAGACTTCCCCATCAAGCCCTTATATGGACACAGGAAGGGATAAGTCAAGACTTCCCCATCAAGCCCTTATATGGACACAGGAAGGGATAAGAAATCGGGGAAGACCAAGACAGACTGTGTAGAACCATTGTCAGGAAAGGCTCAGACACGGGCCTAATGAACATACAAGACATAAAACCGGTGGCTACGAACCGCCAGACACACAGAGCTCTGACCTCTGCCCTATGTGCCACCTTGAGCTCAAAAGGAAAGACTAACTAGTAACTGTGGTAGATGAATGGCCAGCTAATTTTGATCCAGCCAGTAAGGACTGACCTACTCCAGCTTCATCAAGGTTCATCATAACAATGTACCCAGTGTTGGACAATGCTAACATCCACTGTTGAATCTCAATCAATCATAATGATGTACTCACTGTTGGACAGTGCCAACATCCACTGTTGAATCTCAATCAATCATAATGATGTACTCACTGTTGGACAGTGCCAACATCCACTGTTGAATCTCAATCAATCATAATGATGTATTCACTGTTGGACAGTGCCAACATCCACTGTTGAATCTCAATGAACCATAACGATGTACCCAGTGTTGGACAGTGCCAACATCCACTGTTGAATCTCAATCAATCATAATGATGTACTCACTGTTAGACAGTGCTAACATCCACTGTTGAATCTCAATGAATCATAATGATGTACTCACTGTTGGACAGTGCCAACATCCACTGATTAATCTCAATGAACCATAACAATGTACCCAGTGTTGGACAGTGTTAACATCCACTGTTGAATCTCAATCAATCATAATGATGTACTCACTGTTGGGACAGTGCTAACATCCACTGTTGAATCTCAATGAACCATAATGATGTACCCAGTGTTGGACAGTGCTAACATCCACTGTTGAATCTCAATGAACCATAACAATGTACTCACTGTTGGACAGTGCTAACATCCACTGTTGAATATCAATGAATCATAATGATGTACCCAGTGTTGGACAGTGCCAACATCCACTGTTGAATCTCAATGAACCATAATGATGTACTCACTGTTGGACAGTGCTAACATCCACTGATGAATCTCAATGAACATTCTTCAAATGTTTATGGATGTGACTTGGGGTCTTGCCTTCAGCATTGAGGAACTCTGTGACTTTATGTTCTTTCAACCTAAAATTATGGTAGCCATTTTTAAAACGTTACAGTGGTGCCCCCTGTTGATGAAACAGATCGGGTATTCCTATATAGAGCAGAGCAGTTTCCAAGGAACCAGGCTAAATTTACAAACTGCATACGAATACAGTATTTACAGATACAAAATAGGAGGCATTACCTTTTTTTACCATCTCTCCTACATAAACCTATGTATCTAAACCAGCTGTTCTCAAACATTGACTATATATACTAGCCACATCAAAGAAACACATCAAGACCTTGGGTAAACAGGCAGGCTTGACAACAATGTGCTCCCCATTCTCCTGCTCCTCCGTGTTCTCCTTGAGCACTTGGAGCACCAGCTGTGCTGTGTCAGACTCCTGGAACCGGGTTCTCTTGCCCATGGCCCCTGAAACAACAGTTAAATGTAGAGACTAGGGCCCGCCCTGTATACAGAGACTACATCCATCAAATATGTGCAGGAACATACTGACCTCAGGTAGTAGTATTACATACACATCACATAACATAGAGAACTACAGTGAGGTAGGAACACTGCATTTAACATAGAGAACTACAGTGAAGTAGGAACACTACATTTAACATAGAGAACTACAGTGAAGTAGGAACACTGCATTTAACATAGACAACTACAGTGAAGTAGGAACACTACATTTAACATAGACAACTACAGTGAAGTAGGAACACTACATTTAACAAAGACAACTACAATGAAGTAGGAACACTACATTTAACATAGAGAACTACAGTGAAGTAGGAACACTACGTTTAACAAAGACAACTACAGTGAAGTAGGAACACTACATTTAACATAGACAACTACAGTGAAGTAGGAACACTACATTTAACAAAGACAACTACAGTGAAGTAGGAACACTACATTTAACAAAGACAACTACAATGAAGTAGGAGCACTACATTTAACATAGACAACTACAGTGAAGTAGGAACACTACATTTAACATAGACAACTACAGTGAAGTAGGAACACTACATTTAACAAAGACAACTACAATGAAGTAGGAGCACTACATTTAACATAGACAACTATAGTGAAGTAGGAACACTACATTTAACATAGACAACTACAGTGAAGTAGGAACACTACATTTAACATAGACAACTACAATGAAGTAGGAGCACTACATTTAACATAGACAACTACAGTGAAGTAGGAACACTACATTTAACATAGACAACTACAGTGAAGTAGGAACACTACATTTAACAAAGACAACTACAATGAAGTAGGAACACTACATTTAACATAGACAACTACAGTGAAGTAGGAACACTACATTTAACATAGACAACTACAGTGAAGTAGGAACACTACATTTAACAAAGACAACTACAATGAAGTAGGAGCACTACATTTAACATAGACAACTACAGTGAAGTAGGAACACTACATTTAACATAGACAACTACAGTGAAGTAGGAACACTACATTTAACAAAGACAACTACAATGAAGTAGGAGCACTACATTTAACATAGACAACTACAGTGAAGTAGGAACACTACATTTAACATAGACAACTACAATGATGTAGGAACACTACATTTAACATAGACAACTACAGTGACGTAGGAACACTACATTTAACATAGACAACTACAGTGAAGTAGGAACACTACATTTAACAAAGACAACTACAATGAAGTAGGAACACTACATTTAACATAGACAACTACAGTGAAGTAGGAACACTACATTTAACATAGACAACTACAGTGAAGTAGGAACACTACATTTAACATAGACAACTACAGTGAAGTAGGAACACTACATTTAACAAAGACAACTACAATGAAGTAGGAACACTACATTTAACATAGACAACTACAGTGAAGTAGGAACACTACATTTAACATAGACAACTACAGTGAAGTAGGAACACTACATTTAACATAGACAACTACAGTGAAGTAGGAACACTACATTTAACAAAGACAACTACAATGAAGTAGGAACACTACATTTAACATAGACAACTACAGTGAAGTAGGAACACTACATTTAACAAAGACAACTACAATGAAGTAGGAACACTACATTTAACATAGACAACTACAGTGAAGTAGGAACACTACATTTAACATAGACAACTACAGTGAAGTAGGAACACTACATTTAACATAGACAACTACAGTGAAGTAGGAACACTACATTTAACAAAGACAACTACAATGAAGTAGGAACACTACATTTAACATAGACAACTACAGTGAAGTAGGAACACTACATTTAACATAGACAACTACAGTGAAGTAGGAACACTACATTTAACATAGACAACTACAGTGAAGTAGGAACACTACATTTAACATAGACAACTACAGTGAAGTAGGAACACTACATTTAACATAGACAACTACAGTGAAGTAGGAACACTACATTTAACAAAGACAACTACAATGAAGTAGGAACACTACATTTAACATAGACAACTACAGTGACGTAGGAACACTACATTTAACATAGACAACTACAGTGAAGTAGGAACACTACATTTAACATAGACAACTACAGTGACGTAGGAACACTACATTTAACATAGACAACTACAGTGAAGTAGGAACACTACATTTAACAAAGACAACTACAATGAAGTAGGAACACTACATTTAACATAGACAACTACAGTGACGTAGGAACACTACATTTAACAAAGACAACTACAGTGAAGTAGGAACACTACATTTAACATAGACAACTACAGTGAAGTAGGAACACTACATTTAACATAGACAACTACAGTGAAGTAGGAACACTACATTTAACATAGACAACTACAGTGAAGTAGGAACACTACATTTAACATAGACAACTACAATGAAGTAGGAACACTACATTTAACATAGACAACTACAGTGAAGTAGGAACACTACATTTAACATAGACAACTACAGTGAAGTAGGAACACTACATTTAACATAGACAACTACAGTGAAGTAGGAACACTACATTTAACATAGACAACTACAGTGAAGTAGGAACACTACATTTAACATAGACAACTACAATGAAGTAGGAACACTACATTTAACATAGACAACTACAGTGAAGTAGGAACACTACATTTAACATAGACAACTACAGTGAAGTAGGAACACTACATTTAACATAGACAACTACAGTGAAGTAGGAACACTACATTTAACATAGACAACTACAGTGAAGTAGGAACACTACATTTAACATAGACAACTACAGTGAAGTAGGAACACTACATTTAACATAGACAACTACAATGAAGTAGGAACACTACATTTAACATAGACAACTACAGTGAAGTAGGAACACTACATTTAACATAGACAACTACAGTGAAGTAGGAACACTACATTTAACATAGACAACTACAGTGAAGTAGGAACACTACATTTAACATAGACAACTACAGTGAAGTAGGAACACTACATTTAACATAGACAACTACAGTGAATTAGGAACACTACATTTAACATAGACAACTACAGTGAAGTAGGAACACTTTAGACTTTAGACAACTAGACAAAAATAGACAACTAATGCCAAGTGGTAACTGTACACAGCACACAATATTTGAATATTAACATGATGCAATAACAATGTGTAAAGGACACAACTACTGGGCTAATGTTTCAACATTATAAAACTACATGATGATATCTTAGCCTGTAGGTTCCTGACACCAGTGTCTCCTATTCTGAATCAAAAACTTGTACTTTAGCAAGTTCTATGCATGTTAAAAAAGACATTTTGGGCATATGGTTGCAGGAACATATTTTCTACAAGTGAACCACATACATGGAGTAATATGGTGAAGCGGCACAGATGCAGGATATGGTATTGTAACAGAAAACATTAAATCCAATACGGAAGACCACCCCTTCATCTCTGGAAAGATCTGCTTAGGTGTAGCAGGAAACAGAGGCATTAAAGTGAAACAGTTAGCAGACGTGGCATAAGTCCATCTGATGGTGTTATATTCTCAGATTCAAAATCAGCAATTAGAGTTTTAGACAACAGAGTACAATAGAGGTAGACTTACTGATCAACTCTGGTGCTGAACTCTCTCTCTCTCTCTGCTGGATCCCAGAAAACAGAGTACAATAGAGAGGTAGACTCACTGATCAACTCTGGTGCTGAACTCTCTCTCTCTGCTGGATCCCAGAGAACAGAGTACAATAGAGAGGTAGACTCACTGATCAACTCTGGTGCTGAACTCACTCTCTCTCTGCTGGATCCAGAAAACAGAGTACAATAGAGAGGTAGACTCACTGATCAACTCTGGTGCTGAACTCACTCTCTCTCTGCTGGATCCAGAGAACAGAGTACAATAGAGAGGTAGACTCACTGATCAACTCTGGTGCTGAACTCTCTCTCTGCTGGACCCCAGAAAACAGAGTACAATAGAGAGGTAGACTCACTGATCAACTCTGGTGCTGAACTCTATCTCAGCTGGATCCCAGAGAACCTCAGAATCATAGAAATTATGAAGCTGACAGACTTTTCACAGAAAAAATTTTTTTCCCCAGATTACAAACCAGCCCACAAATACAGAGAAACAATTACAGGTGGAAATACCTGAATCGTTGGATAAACAGGGGCACTGACTTTTCGAACACTAACAGAAACAATTACAGGTAAGAATAACTGAATCGTTGGACAAACAGGGGCAATGACTCTTCAAACACTAACAGAAACAATTACAGGTAAGAATAACTGAATCGTTGGACAAACAGGGACACTGACTTTTCGAACACTAACAGAAACAATTACAGGTAAGAATAACTGAATCGTTGGACAAACAGGGGCAATGACTCTTCAAACACTAACAGAAACAATTACAGGTAAGAATAACTGAATCGTTGGACAAACAGGGGCAATGACTCTTCAAACACTAACAGAAACAATTACAGGTAAGAATAACTGAATCGCTGGACAAACAGGGGCAATGACTCTTCAAACACTAACAGAAACAATTACAGGTAAGAATAACTGAATCGCTGGACAAACAGGGGCAATGACTCTTCAAACACTAACAGAAACAATTACAGGTAAGAATAACTGAATCGTTGGACAAACAGGGGCAATGACTCTTCAAACACTAACAGAAACAATTACAGGTAAGAATAACTGAATCGTTGGACAAACAGGGGCAATGACTCTTCAAACACTAACAGAAACAATTACAGGTAAGAATAACTGAATCGTTGGACAAACAGGGGCAATGACTCTTCAAACACTAACAGAAACAATTACAGGTAAGAATAACTGAATCGTTGGACAAACAGGGGCAATGACTCTTCAAACACTAACAGAAACAATTACAGGTAAGAATAACTGAATCGCTGGACAAACAGGGGCAATGACTCTTCAAACACTAACAGAAACAATTACAGGTAAGAATAACTGAATCGTTGGACAAACAGGGGCACTGACTTTTCGAACACTAACAGAAACAACCATCAGGACCCACTGCTAAAGAGAGAAATTATGGTCTGTCATGTCCCAGTTAGGAAATAAACTGAATCTGTGGGTCAAACTGCAGCCCTTGCTTCCTGTAATCAGGGACCAGCTCAAGACTAGCAGATACAATGCCCAAGATGAGTGGAGCTGTGACACAAGCGGCTGCCACCACTCCACTCTACAATCAACAAAACACTCTAAATCTCATGGCCACGACTGGGGAGGACCTGTACATGTGTCAGAGGCAATGGCTAGTTACCTTCTACTTCTGCCTTTCAATCACCTAATGGAGCATAGGCCCTCAACTAACTCATGCCAAGTCGTTCTACCCTTCACCATCGCATGCAGCTCACCCCATGTCATCCCATCATTTTCAACTTCACTCTCTAGCTCCATTCTCCAAGTGTTTTTCGGTCTTCCTTTAGATCTATGCCCCTGTAGGCTCCAGTGCAAAGACATTCTAGTTATATTGTTCTCAGGTTTTTCTCATAGTGTTTTTCGGTCTTCCTTTAGATCTATGCCCCTGTAGGCTCCAGTGCAAAGACATTCTAGTTATATTGTTCTTAGGTTTTTCTCAAAGTGTCCTATCTAAGAGTCTTTTCTTCACCTCTTAGTCCACTGGAGCTTGTTTATTTATCTCCCAAAGCTCTACATCAGTGATTCTATCATTCCATTTAATTACCCCTATTCTAGTCAGGCACCAGTTAATGAATGTTTGTAGTTTATCAGTAACTGCCTTAGCTGTTCTCCATGTTTCTCTTCCATATATCAGTACGGATTTGACATTAGAATTAAAAGTTTTAAGTTTAGTTTTTAAGTTTAGTATTAATTTATTTTGACCTCCACAAATTCACTAGTGCTGTAAAAGCTCCTCTTGCCTTTTGTATTCATATTTTATTATCTCCATCAGTTCCCCCATTTTACATTACTACCCAAACAGATGTACAACTCCAAGTCTTGGAGTGGGTACCATTAACAGAAACCAGATTACTATTTGCACGATTTATTCTCATTATCTTTGTCTTTCCCTATTTGATTTTCAGACCAAGCTGCTGTGATCTTGATCAAGTATATTTAATTTATCTTGTATCTGATTCCGTGAGTGGAACAGAAATGTAATACCAGCAAAGTCCAGATCATCAAGCTGTTTTGTAGGGGTCCACACTCGAAATCTCCTGCTCACAACTGCAAAGGACCTTTACATATGTCAAAAAGGCAATGGCTAGCCAGGAGCTACCTGCTCAAAAGTAAATGCATTAAATCACTGTGATAAAAGTATTTTCTATGATTTACAAATATAATATATAACCTCCAACAAAACAATTCTTCTAAAATATGAGACAAACTATTTCACCAGTTCTCCAGCAAATCTGGAACTGACCTGTCAGTTTGACCTGAATGCCTGAAATTTTCCTGGCAGAATCAAAGTGCTCAGCAGCTCTCTTGTACTCAAAGTAAGTGTTGAGGGCATGGCCTACCTCAACATGGAACATGATGTGGATATCTCTGGGTAGGTGGCACACACAGGCAGGAAACAAGTTAGACAACAATATATTTAGTCCACAAGGTGCATAATCAAGATAATATTAGAGGTAATAAAACAGATAATGGCATACACCCAATTGTCCACTGGCATAAAAAAGTTCTCCAAAAAAAAGACAACAGTATAATCTGTGTTGAACAGATTACACTTACTGAAGTAATACATACAGTTTATATTAGATAAATTTATGTCAAATAAACTGTATTTATTCTTTCAGTAAATGTAAAAAGTTCAGACTGTGACCTATTTGATATATTCCAAGTTACAAAATCTTCTGAGACTTCTAATGAAGGTTGTCAATCCAATCTCACGTCCTTTTTAGGATGCAATTTTTCGTTATTTGAAGCCCTACTCTGGTTCATGCCGGGGGCCACAATATAGTCAGGCCAAAAATATGGCCTAATTGCTGAACGCGGTTTCCGGGACCTCTCCACGGGTGATCCTCATCCACATGGTGTCATCGGGTGTTTATTGCTTGTGTGATGTCCTGGTGGGATAGAAAGTCAGTCAAAATCTTCTGACAGTCGCTGTCTGTAGCCAGCCTTCTGCCTCATAAACTGCCAATCATTTCTACTACAGAGCTACTGCATGTCAAGATGCCAAACTAACAATCTTCTGTATGTCCTGATGTCAAACTAACAATCTTCTGTATGTCCTGATGTCAAACTAGCAATCTTCTGTATGTCCTGATGTCAAACTAACAATCTTCTGTATGTCCTGATGTCAAACTAGCAATCTTCTGTATGTCCTGATGTCAAACTAACAATGTTCTGTATGTCCTGATGTCAAACTAACAATCTTCTGTATGTCCTGATGTCAAACTAGCAATCTTCTGTATGTCCTGATGTCAAACTAACAATCTTCTGTATGTCCTGATGTCAAACTAACAATCTTCTGTATGTCCTGATGCCAAACTTACAATCTTCTGTATGTCCTGATGTCAAACTTACAATCTTCTGTATGTCCTGATGTCAAACTAACAATCTTCTGTATGTCCTGATGTCAAACTAACAATCTTCTGTATGTCCTGATGCCAAACTTACAATCTTCTGTATGTCCTGATGTCAAACTAACAATCTTCTGTATGTCCTGATGTCAAACTAACAATCTTCTGTATGTCCTGATGTCAAACTAGCAATCTTCTGTATGTCCTGATGTCAAACTAACAATCTTCTGTATGTCCTGATGTCAAACTAACAATCTTCTGTATGTCCTGATGTCAAACTAACAATCTTCTGTATGTCCTGATGTCAAACTAGCAATCTTCTGTATGTCCTGATGTCAAACTAGCAATCTTCTGTATGTCCTGATGTCAAACTAGCAATCTTCTGTATGTCCTGATGTCAAACTAACAATCTTCTGTATGTCCTGATGTCAAAGTAGCAATCTTCTGTATGTCCTGATGCCAAACAAGCAATCTTCTGTATGTCCTGATGCCAAACAAGCAATCTTCTGTATGTCCTGATGCCAAACAAGCAATCTTCTGTATGTCCTGATGCCAAACAAGCAATCTTCTGTATGTCCTGATGTCAAACTAGCAATCTTCTGTATGTCCTGATGTCAAACTAGCAATCTTCTGTATGTCCTGATGTCAAACTAGCAATCTTCTGTATGTCCTGATGTCAAACTAGCAATCTTCTGTATGTCCTGATGTCAAACTAACAATCTTCTGTATGTCCTGATGTCAAACTAACAATCTTCTGTATGTCCTGATGTCAAACTAACAATCTTCTGTATGTCCTGATGCCAAACTAACAATCTTCTGTATGTCCTGATGCCAAACTAACAATCTTCTGTATGTCCTGATGTCAAACTAACAATCTTCTGTATGTCCTGATGTCAAACTAGCAATCTTCTGTATGTCCTGATGTCAAACTAGCAATCTTCTGTATGTCCTGATGTCAAACTAACAATCTTCTGTATGTCCTGATGTCAAACTAGCAATCTTCTGTATGTCCTGATGTCAAACTAACAATCTTCTGTATGTCCTGATGTCAAACTAACAATCTTCTGTATGTCCTGATGTCAAACTAGCAATCTTCTGTATGTCCTGATGCCAAACAAGCAATCTTCTGTATGTCCTGATGTCAAACTAGCAATCTTCTGTATGTCCTGATGTCAAACTAACAATCTTCTGTATGTCCTGATGTCAAACTTACAATCTTCTGTATGTCCTGATGTCAAACTAGCAATCTTCTGTATGTCCTGATGTCAAACTAGCAATCTTCTGTATGTCCTGATGTCAAACTAGCAATCTTCTGTATGTCCTGATGTCAAACTAGCAATCTTCTGTATGTCCTGATGTCAAACTAACAATCTTCTGTATGTCCTGATGTCAAACTAACAATCTTCTGTATGTCCTGATGCCAAACTAACAATCTTCTGTATGTCCTGATGCCAAACTAACAATCTTCTGTATGTCCTGATGTCAAACTAACAATCTTCTGTATGTCCTGATGTCAAACTAGCAATCTTCTGTATGTCCTGATGTCAAACTAACAATCTTCTGTATGTCCTGATGTCAAACTAACAATCTTCTGTATGTCCTGATGTCAAACTAGCAATCTTCTGTATGTCCTGATGTCAAACTAACAATCTTCTGTATGTCCTGATGTCAAACTAGCAATCTTCTGTATGTCCTGATGTCAAACTAACAATCTTCTGTATGTCCTGATGTCAAACTAACAATCTTCTGTATGTCCTGATGTCAAACTTACAATCTTCTGTATGTCCTGATGTCAAACTAGCAATCTTCTGTATGTCCTGATGTCAAACTAGCAATCTTCTGTATGTCCTGATGTCAAACTAGCAATCTTCTGTATGTCCTGATGTCAAACTAACAATCTTCTGTATGTCCTGATGTTAGACTAACAATCTTCTGTATGTCCTGATGCCAAACTAACAATCTTCTGTATGTCCTGATGCCAAACTAACAATCTTCTGTATGTCCTGATGTCAAACTAGCAATCTTCTGTATGTCCTGATGTCAAACTAACAATCTTCTGTATGTCCTGATGTCAAACTTACAATCTTCTGTATGTCCTGATGTCAAACTAGCAATCTTCTGTATGTCCTGATGCCAAACTAACAATCTTTTGTATGTCCTGATGTCAAACTAGCAATCTTCTGTATGTCCTGATGTCAAACTAGCAATCTTCTGTATGTCCTGATGTCAAACTAACAATCTTCTGTATGTCCTGATGTCAAACTAACAATCTTCTGTATGTCCTGATGTCAGACTAGCAATCTTCTGTATGTCCTGATGTCAAACTAACAATGTTCTGTATGTCCTGATGTCAAACTAGCAATCTTCTGTATGTCCTGATGTCAAACTAGCAATCTTCTGTATGTCCTGATGTCAAACTAACAATCTTCTGTATGTCCTGATGTCAAACTAACAATCTTCTGTATGTCCTGATGTCAAACTAACAATCTTCTGTATGTCCTGATGTCAAACTAACAATCTTCTGTATGTCCTGATGTCAAACTTACAATCTTCTGTATGTCCTGATGTCAAACTAACAATCTTCTGTATGTCCTGATGTCAAACTAGCAATCTTCTGTATGTCCTGATGTCAAACTAGCAATCTTCTGTATGTCCTGATGTCAAACTAACAATCTTCTGTATGTCCTGATGTCAAACTAGCAATCTTCTGTATGTCCTGATGTCAAACTAACAATCTTCTGTATGTCCTGATGTCAAACTAACAATCTTCTGTATGTCCTGATGTCAAACTAACAATCTTCTGTATGTCCTGATGTCAAACTAGCAATCTTCTGTATGTCCTGATGTCAAACTAACAATCTTCCGTATGTCCTGATGTCAAACTAGCAATCTTCCGTATGTCCTGATGTCAAACTAACAATCTTCCGTATGTCCTGATGTCAAACTAACAATCTTCCGTATGTCCTGATGTCAAACTTACAATCTTCTGTATGTCCTGATGTCAAACTAACACTCTTCTGTATGTCCTGATGTCAAACTAGCAATCTTCTGTATGTCCTGATGTCAAACTAACAATCTTCTGTATGTCCTGATGTCAAACTAGCAATCTTCTGTATGTCCTGATGTCAAACTAGCAATCTTCTGTATGTCCTGATGTCAAACTAGCAATCTTCTGTATGTCCTGATGTCAAACTAACAATCTTCTGTATGTCCTGATGTCAAACTAGCAATCTTCTGTATGTCCTGATGTCAAACTAACAATCTTCTGAATGTCCTGATGTCAAACTAACAATCTTCTGTATGTCCTGATGTCAAACTAGCAATCTTCTGTATGTCCTGATGCCAAACAAGCAATCTTCTGTATGTCCTGATGTCAAACTAGCAATCTTCTGTATGTCCTGATGTCAAACTAACAATCTTCTGTATGTCCTGATGTCAAACTTACAATCTTCTGTATGTCCTGATGTCAAACTAGCAATCTTCTGTATGTCCTGATGTCAAACTAGCAATCTTCTGTATGTCCTGATGTCAAACTAGCAATCTTCTGTATGTCCTGATGTCAAACTAACAATCTTCTGTATGTCCTGATGTCAAACTAAAAATCTTCTGTATGTCCTGATGCCAAACTAACAATCTTCTGTATGTCCTGATGTCAAACTAACAATCTTCTGTATGTCCTGATGTCAAACTAACAATCTTCTGTATGTCCTGATGTCAAACTAGCAATCTTCTGTATGTCCTGATGTCAAACTAACAATCTTCTGTATGTCCTGATGTCAAACTAACAATCTTCTGTATGTCCTGATGTCAAACTAGCAATCTTCTGTATGTCCTGATGTCAAACTAACAATCTTCTGTATGTCCTGATGTCAAACTAACAATCTTCTGTATGTCCTGATGTCAAACTAGCAATCTTCTGTATGTCCTGATGTCAAACTAACAATCTTCTGTATGTCCTGATGTCAAACTAACAATCTTCTGTATGTCCTGATGTCAAACTTACAATTTTCTGTATGTCCTGATGTCAAACTAGCAATCTTCTGTATGTCCTGATGTCAAACTAGCAATCTTCTGTATGTCCTGATGTCAAACTAGCAATCTTCTGTATGTCCTGATGTCAAACTAACAATCTTCTGTATGTCCTGATGTTAGACTAACAATCTTCTGTATGTCCTGATGCCAAACTAACAATCTTCTGTATGTCCTGATGCCAAACTAACAATCTTCTGTATGTCCTGATGTCAAACTAGCAATCTTCTGTATGTCCTGATGTCAAACTAACAATCTTCTGTATGTCCTGATGTCAAACTTACAATCTTCTGTATGTCCTGATGTCAAACTAGCAATCTTCTGTATGTCCTGATGCCAAACTAACAATCTTTTGTATGTCCTGATGTCAAACTAGCAATCTTCTGTATGTCCTGATGTCAAACTAGCAATCTTCTGTATGTCCTGATGTCAAACTAACAATCTTCTGTATGTCCTGATGTCAAACTAACAATCTTCTGTATGTCCTGATGTCAGACTAGCAATCTTCTGTATGTCCTGATGTCAAACTAACAATGTTCTGTATGTCCTGATGTCAAACTAGCAATCTTCTGTATGTCCTGAAACTGCAATCAATGTCAAACTAACAATCTTCTGTATGTCCTGATGTCAAACTAACAATCTTCTGTATGTCCTGATGTCAAACTAACAATCTTCTGTATGTCCTGATGTCAAACTAACAATCTTCTGTATGTCCTGATGTCAAACTTACAATCTTCTGTATGTCCTGATGTCAAACTAACAATCTTCTGTATGTCCTGATGTCAAACTAGCAATCTTCTGTATGTCCTGATGTCAAACTAACAATCTTCTGTATGTCCTGATGTCAAACTAACAATCTTCTGTATGTCCTGATGTCAAACTAGCAATCTTCTGTATGTCCTGATGTCAAACTAACAATCTTCTGTATGTCCTGATGTCAAACTAACAATCTTCTGTATGTCCTGATGTCAAACTAACAATCTTCTGTATGTCCTGATGTCAAACTAGCAATCTTCTGTATGTCCTGATGTCAAACTAACAATCTTCTGTATGTCCTGATGTCAAACTAACAATCTTCCGTATGTCCTGATGTCAAACTAACAATCTTCCGTATGTCCTGATGTCAAACTAACAATCTTCTGTATGTCCTGATGTCAAACTAACAATCTTCTGTATGTCCTGATGTCAAACTAACAATCTTCTGTATGTCCTGATGTCAAACTAACAATCTTCTGTATGTCCTGATGTCAAACTAGCAATCTTCTGTATGTCCTGATGTCAAACTAACAATCTTCTGTATGTCCTGATGTCAAACTAGCAATCTTCTGTATGTCCTGATGTCAAACTAACAATCTTCTGTATGTCCTGATGTCAAACTAACAATCTTCTGTATGTCCTGATGTCAAACTAGCAATCTTCTGTATGTCCTGATGTCAAACTAACAATCTTCTGTATGTCCTGATGTCAAACTAGCAATCTTCTGTATGTCCTGATGTCAAACTAACAATCTTCTGTATGTCCTGATGTCAAACTAACAATCTTCTGTATGTCCTGATGTCAAACTAACAATCTTCTGTATGTCCTGATGTCAAACTAACAATCTTCTGTATGTCCTGATGTCAAACTAACAATCTTCTGTATGTCCTGATGTCAAACTAACAATCTTCTGTATGTCCTGATGTCAAACTAACAATCTTCTGTATGTCCTGATGTCAAACTAACAATATTCTGTATGTCCTGATGTCAAACTAACAATCTTCTGTATGTCCTGATGTCAAACTAACAATCTTCCGTATGTCCTGATGTCAAACTAACAATCTTCTGTATGTCCTGATGCCAAACTAACAATCTTCTTTATGTCCTGATGTCAAACTAACAATCTTCTGTATGTCCTGATGTCAAACTAACAATCTTCTGTATGTCCTGATGTCAAACTAACAATCTTCTGTATGTCCTGATGCCAAACTAACAATCTTCTGTATGTCCTGATGCCAAACTAACAATCTTCTGTATGTCCTGATGTCAAACTAACAATCTTCTGTATGTCCTGATGTCAAACTAACAATCTTCTGTATGTCCTGATGTCAAACTAACAATCTTCTGTATGTCCTGATGTCAAACTAACAATCTTCCGTATGTCCTGATGTCAAACTAACAATCTTCTGTATGTCCTGATGCCAAACTAACAATCTTCTGTATGTCCTGATGTCAAACTAACAATCTTCTGTATGTCCTGATGTCAAACTAACAATCTTCTGTATGTCCTGATGCCACACAGATAACTGAAAGGTTTACTGCACACATAACACAACACAGATAACGGAGAGAGGTTTACTGCACACATAACACAACACAGATAATGGAGATAGGTTTACTGCATACGCATCACAAATAGAGAGGTTTACTGCACACACAACACAACACAGATAATGGAGAGAGGTTTACTGCACACATAACACAACACAGATAACGGTGAGAGGTTTACTGCACACACACTACAGATAATAGAGAGGTTTACTGCACACATAACACAAAACAGATAACGGAGAGAGGTTTACTGCACACATAACACAACACAGATAACGGAGAGAGGTTTACTGCACACATAACACAACACAGATAATGGAGAGAGGTTTACTGCACACATAACACAACACAGATAACGGAGAGAGGTTTACTGCACACATAACACAACACAGATAAAGGAAAGAGGTTTACTGCACACATAACACAACACAGATAACAGAGAGAGGTTTACTGCATACACATCACAGATAATAGAGAGGTTTACTGCACACGCAACACAACACAGATGATTGGGAGAAGTTTATTGCACATACAACACAACACTGAGAGGTTTACTGCACATACAACACAACACTGAGAGGTTTACTGCATAAACCACACAGATAACCGAGAGAGATAACTTTTTATTGCATACACAACACAACACAGATAACAGAAAGGTTTACTGCATATACAATAAAGATAACTGAGAGAAGTTTACTAAACACACAAAACAACACAGATAACTGAGAGAAGTTTACTAAACACAAAAAACAACAGATAACTGAGAGAGGTTTACTAAACACACAAAACAACACAGATAACTGAGAGAAGTTTACTAAACACACAAAACAACACAGATAACCGAAAGACGTTTACTGCACACACAACACAGATAAAGGAGAGATTTACTGCACATACAACATAGATAACATTGAGGGGTTTAATGCACGCACAACACGGATAACAGAGAGGTTTGCTGCACACACAACACAATGCAGATAACTCAGGGAAGTTTACTGCACACACAATATAACACAGATAACTAAGAGAAGTTTACTGCACACACAATATAACACAGATAACTAAGAGAAGTTTACTGCACACACAATATAACACAGATAACTAAGAGAAGTTTACTGCACACACAATATAACACAGATAACTAAGAGAAGTTTACTGCACACACAATATAACACAGATAACTAAGAGAAGTATTTTCACCTGTTGGATTCATCTGTCATCATGGGCTCTCTAGTAGAAACTGGATTTGAGACAAATGTTTGCAGTTAATACACTGACTTCTAGAATCACCCAGGTGTGCATGTCTCTGAGACGGTTAAAGTCTGAGATAAAAACAACAACTCAGTGACACTAAAGCAATCTCTCTTGCTCTCTAACTCTGTGTGTGTGTGTGTGTGTGTGTGTGTGTGGTGGGGGAGGGGTGGGAGGGGCAACTTTCTGTCTTCCCAGATGATAGTGCTACTACTGTTCACCACAATATTATTACCAACACTGTGCTATCAATGTCAAACATTGACACTGGCTTCAGAAGACAGAAGGAAAATAGTCATGACAGAAATTAAATGTTCACGCACTATACTAGGTGTTACAAGGAAAGACTGACTTAGAATCAGGAGGAGAGTCGTACAGAACTAATACAGAATTTTAGTTAGACAACAAATCAAATGGTCTGGCCATGTAAGAAGACCGGATCAGACAGAACACCACAGACAGCAATGCTTGAAAAACACAATGGTAACAGAACCAGAGGTCAACCGCGCAGAACATGGACTGATGAAACAAATTTAGAGACATTAAAATGTACTTTATATGAAGCAAACAGAAGGGCCTGCTCCAGAAATCTCTTCCTGTCCTGATGCCAAGAGACACTCCAGGAGAAGAGAAAAGAAGGGACTGTTTCAGAAATCTCTTCATGTCCTGATGCCAAGAGACACTCCAGGAGTAGAGAAAAGAAGGGCCTGCTCCAGAAATCTCTTCCTGTCCTAATGCCAAGAGACACTCCAGGAGAAGAGAAAAGAAGGGCCTGCTCCAGAAATCTCTTCCTGTCCTAATGCCAAGAGACACTCCAGGAGTAGAGAAAAGAAGGGCCTGCTCCAGAAATCTCTTCCTGTCCTAATGCCAAGAGACACTCCAGGAGTAGAGAAAAGAAGGGACTGTTTCAGAAATCTCTTCCTCTCCTAATGCCAAGAGACACTCCAGAAGTAGAGAAAAGAAGAAGAGAAGTGTTACTGTACTACAGGAAGGCAGGGAAATTCCAGCTTATGGCAAAAGATCAATTAAAGGGGGAGGTGGGGAGATCCTAGAAATCAATGCTGACTATCATATTTGATTTCTTCTCTGACATAACTGGACAGGGACCCTCAATGTAGGCACCTCATTGTTAGTGTAAAAGCACTAAGGCATCAGTAATAGTTACACTAGACTGATGGTAACTTAGTGATGTCTGGTTAACTCAGGCATCAGTAATAGTTACACTAGACCGATGGTAACTTAGTGATGTGTGCTTAACTCAGGCATCAGTAACACTTACACAAGACTGATGGTAACTTAGTGATGTCTGCTTAACTCAGGCATCAGTAACACTTACACTAGACTGATGGTAACTTAGTGATGTCTGGTTAACTCAGGCATCAGTAACACTTACACTAGACTGATGGTAACTTAGTGATGTGTGCTTAACTCAGACATCAGTAATAGTTACACTAGACTGATGGTAACAGTGATGTGTGCAATTAATCAAGTGCCGTGCCACAACCAAGAATGGCTGCAAAAAATCTCTACCACTCTTCCCATACCCAGTCTCTTATCAAGAAGAAGAATTTACACAACATCCCTGAGTTTCTTATATTCCAAGCTATTTACAAGGGGGCCCAGTCAAATTATTTACTCAACTGATGTATTCAATTACAAATATAAGTCTTGTTGTTGAGGAACACGTTCATCACATGCAGACATTTCTCAAGTGTTTCAGGCTTCCCCAGCAGGTCCCAAAAGACACATCCCCATACACAGCATGAACACTCATGTCCCCGGCAAGGTTATGACCTTTTAGGCTGTACAATGTCTGACCTTCCCCCATAGCCTGCTAACGTTTCCCTGTAGTTGGTGACCTTCTCCTGTAGCCTGGTGACCTTTTCCTGTAGCCAGGTGGCCTTAACCTGTAGCCTGGTGACCTTCCCCTGTAGCCTGGTGACCCAACTTTCTTATGATGTCTTGTGTGGACAACTTACTGTCATCTATCAGCTGCGAGACAGTTTCTTTCAAGGTGGGAGATCTCTCAGACAGCAGATGCTGTTGTGTCATCAAACATCGCAGGACCCACCAGTCCCAGGTCTACAAACAAACAAACAAACAATTAATTTCACTGGTGATGTTCATCACAATAACAGCGATGGACTCAAATATAAACATTCGTCAACAAATGTTTAGTGAAATCAAACATGTGGGAGTTACAACAACCTGTCTGCTGCTCCACACATGTGGGAGTTACAACAACCTGCCTGCTGCTCCACACATGAGAGAGTTACAACAACCTGCCTGCTGCTCCACACATGTGGGAGTTACAACAACCTGCCTGCTGCTCCACACATGAGAGAGTTACAACAACCTGTCTGCTGCTCCACACATATGGGAGTTACAACAACCTGTCTGCTGCTCCATACATGTGGGAGTTACAACAACCTGTCTGCTGCTCCATACATGTGGGAGTTACAACAACCTGTCTGCTGCTCCACACATGTGGGAGTTACAACAACCTGTCTGCTGCTCCACACATGAGAGAGTAGGCATGGAGGGAGACATCTGAGGGTGAGTTTAGGAAAGCAGGGAGAGACAAAGAGAGAATCAGAGAGTGGACAGAGTTTTGTGTTTGGAGAAAGAAGGAGAGACATGAAGAAAGAAAGAAAGAAAGAAAGAAAGAAAGAAAGAAAGAAAGAAAGAAAGAAAGAAAGAAAGAAAGAAAGAAAGAAAGAAAGAAAGAAAGAAAGAAAGAAAGAAAGAAAGAAAGAAAAAAAGAAAGAAAGAAAGTGGAGAAGGAGGGAGGGACAGAGAGTGGACAGAGTTTTGTGTTTGCAGAAAGAAGGAGAGACACGAAGAAAGAAAGAAAGAAAGAAAGAAAGTGAAGAAGGAGGGAGAGACAGAGAGTGTGCATTTGGGAAAGAAGAAGAAACAAAGAAAGGGTACATAAAAAGTGAGAGGAAGAGAGTGGAGAAAGAGGGCCAGTCACAGACAGAGCTGAAGGAAGGAAGACACAAATTGTGGAGACAGAGGGAAAACATGTCATGAGCACTGTTACCCCCGCATCATCTGTGGCAGGAGCATGATAACTTCCTGTCTACAAGCTCTGCCCCACCTCAGAGGTCATACCCATGATGCCCTACCTCAGAGGTCATACCCATGATGCCCTACCTCAGAGGTCATACCCATGATGCCCTACCTCAGAGGTCATACCCATGATGCCCCACCTCAGAGGTCATGCCCATGATGCCCCCCCCTCAGAGGTCATACCCATGATGCCCCACCTCAGAGGTCATACCCATGATGCCCTACCTCAGAGGTCATACCCATGATGCCCTTCCTCAGAGGTCATACCCATGATGCCCTATTTCAGAGGTCATATCCATGACGCCCTACCGCAGAGGTCATACCCATGATGCCCCATCTAAGAGGTCATGACCAGCTCTGCCCCCTCTACATCTGAATATCTACAGCTAAGTTTGGGCTTACTAATTATCTCTTCATTGCGTTCTCCCTGACACAATACTTCAATTGTATAGCAGAGCCTCACATGAGAACAAAAGCAATTCAGTCAATACTAAACAGCCAACATGAACTCTGAGAGGAGAAACAAGAAACAGGAATGCAGGGAGAGAGAGACAGAGACAGAGACGCAGTGAGAGAAAGAGGGAGAGATTACCTGAATGGGAGTAAAACATGACCTGCAGTCAACCAAGAGACATCTGGCAATATACAAGTAGATCAGGTGTCTGGACTTGGAGTAGACAGTCTCGCCATCCGTGGCCAGGTCATCCAGGGCCTCGGTCTCCACATCCTGCACATGCAACACTTTTATCACATGTCACTCCAGGTGTAGGTACACATACATAGCTTCCCTATACAACACTTTTATCACATGTCAGTCCAGGTGTAGGTACACATACATAGCTTCCCAATATAACTCTTTTATCACATGTCACTCCAGGTGTAGGTACACAACATAGCTTCCCAATACAACACTTTTATCACATGTCACTCAAGGTGTAGGTACACACACATAGCTTCCTAATACAATACTTTTATCACATGTCACTCCAGGTGTAGGTACACATAGATAGCTTCCCTATACAACACTTTTATCACATGTCACTCCAGGTGTAGGTACACATACATAGCTTCCCAATACAACTCTTTTATCACATGTCACTCCAGGTGTAGGAGCAACCATTTCATTCCACTGGAGCCAGTAAACAAAGAAAAAGAAGAAGAAGATTTGTTCAAGACATTTCATCTCCATTGAATGTTGCTACTGAATATTTTCCCAGGAAGTGACAATGATTTATTTATTTCTGCTACCATTAATATAATTTCTTTGCAACTGTCATGCTTCCTTAGGTCCCATTTGACTGGCAGTGTCATTAGATATTCTTCTCAAACCTTCAGTTTCTCTTCAGTCTTCCAGATACAGCAAACAGTTTGTACGGCAATGAGGCTGATGTATTTACTTTAGCAGCTTGGACATCATCTGGACAAGCAGCTTTCCCATCCTTCAGGAGTTTTACAGCTATTATAATTTCATCTTTATTCATCTTATTACAGATTGCAGCTTAATATCTCTACACGGTGTAGAAGAATGAACAAGTGTCTAGAGTCAGGCAATAACACAATCGTCTACTTCCACTAACACAGTGCCTTGACTGTTGTAGAAATAACTGCACAAATATTGTCTAACCCTGATTGCACAGTACCTTGACTTGTGGTTAAAACTACACAAATCTTGTCTAACCCTGATAACACAGTACCTTGACCCTGTTGTGGAAATAACTATACAAATCTTCTCTATATCTGATAACACAGTACCTTGACCCTGTTGTGGAAATAACTATACAAATCTTCTCTATATCTAATAACACAGTACCTTGACCGTGTTGTGGAAATAACTATTCAAATCTTCTCTATATCTGATAACACAGTACCTTGACCGTGTTGTGGAAATAACTATACAAATCTTCTCTATATCTGATAACACAGTACCTTGACCCTGTTGTGGAAATAACTACACAAATCTTCTCTATATCTGATAACACAGTACCTTGACCCTGTTGTGGAAAGACTTGTGACAAAACTCCAGTGGACATGTGGATGTGGGTGGTCCCAGCCAGTTGTTCTGTATAAACAGCTGAAGACAAGCAGCAGCAACGGTCAACACCTGCAGAGACCTGTCAACAAACAAGGTCAACACCTGTCAACAAACAAGGGCTACACCTGCAGAGACCTGTCAACAAAAAGGGCTACACTGTCAGTTCTGCTTACCTCCAAGTATCCAGCCAGTATCAACACATAATCAACAGCCACATTCAACTGACATCAAGGCCCAATACCATGACATCAAAGCCCTGTACCATGACATCAAGGCCCAATACCATGACATCAAAGCCCTGTACCATGACATCAAGGCCCAATACCATGACATCAAAGCCCTGTACCATGACATCAAGGCCCAATACCATGACATCAAGGCCCTGTACCATGACATCAAAGCCCTGTACCATGACATCAAGGTCCTGTACCAGGACAACAAGGTTCTGTACCAGGACAACAAGGTTCTGTACGATGACATCAAGGCCCTGTACCATGACATCAAGGCCCTGTACCATGACATGAAGGCCCTGTACCATGACATCAAGGCCCTGTACCATGACATCAAGGTTCTGTACCGTGATAACAAGCTTCTGTAACATGACAACAAGACAGTTACTGTTACAGCAAGGCCCTGTACCATGACAGGAAGGTTCTGTACTGTGACAACAAGGCCCTGTACCATGACAGGAAGGTTCTGTACCATGACAACAAGGCCCTGTACCATGACAACAAGGTCATGTACCGTGACAGCAAGGCCCGGTACTGCGACAACAAGACCCTGAACAATGAAAATGAGATCCCTGTACCATGACAATAAGGGACTGTACCATGACATCAAGGTTCTGTACCATAACAACAAGGCCCTGTACCATGACAGCAAGACCCTGTACCATGACAGCAAGACCCTGTACCATGACATCAAGGCCAAGTACATGACATGACAGCAAGTCCTTGTACTGTGACAGCAAGGCCCTGTACCATGACAGGAAAGTTCTGTACCAAGACAGGAAGGTTCTGTACCATGACAACAAGACCATTACTGTGACAGCAAGCTTCTGTACTGTGACAACAAGACTGTTACAGTGAAAGCAAGGCCCTGTACTGTGACAGCAAGGCCCTGTACCATGACATCAAGACCATTACTGTGACAGCAAGGCCCTGTACTGTGACAGCAAGGCCCTGTACTGTGACAGCAAGGCCCTGTACCATGACATCAAGACCATTACTGTGACAGCAAGGCCCTGTACCGTGACATGAAGGTTCTATACCATGACAGAAACGTTCTGTACCATGACGGCAAGGTTCTGTACCATGACAACAAGACACTGTACTATGATATCAAGACCCTGTACCTTGACAGAAAAGCCCTGTATCATGACAACAAGGCCCTGTACCGTGACAACAAGGCCATGTACCATGATAACAAGGCTCTGTACCATGACAACAAGGCCCTTTACCATGACAATAAGGCCCTTTACCATGACAATAAGGCCCTGTACCATGACAACAAGGCCCTTTACCATGACAAAAAGGCCCTTTACCATGACAACAAGGCCCTTTACCATGACATCAAGGCCCTTTACCATGACAATAAGGCCCTGTACCATGACAACAAGGCCCTGTACGGTGACAACAAGGCCCTGTACGGTGACAACAAGGCCCTGTACGGTGACAACAAGGCCCTGTACAGTGACAACTAAGCCCTGTCTGGTAATCATGCGAGATAGTCAACTATGACAGCTTTTGTGTATTGGCAAGGTAAATGATCACGATGATGAAACTCAGAATGATGAAGATGCTATAATGATACTGTCTGTATCTGTGAGCAGGCAGCTACTGACATTCCCTGATCTCTTAGAAACGTCAGTGTCATCAGTGCTAGAGAATCTGTCTGGACAAGAGAGTCTACAGTCAACAGATCAGTGTTACCTCAGCTCTTCCGCGGTCTCCTGCTGTACAGCTAGATGTTCAACATTCTGTTTTATGAAACAACCAAACGCATCTGAACGACTCGCTAAATCATCACTTTCTCCAACCAAGATCAATCTGGATATGTCCGAGCTCAGAACAGCCTCATAGTGGCCGTTTAGAAACATCTTGACAGCATCTGGCAAATCTGAGTCATCTGGAGAATATCAAATACAAGAACAGAGCGATAAACCTCAGGCACGTCTGTACCATCTGGTGAATATAAAACACTGTTGAGTACTGTTGGCTATATCCATTCTGTTTGTCTCATGGTTGTGTCTAGTGAATGTCAGCGATTGTAACAAAATCCCAGACAATGTCAGTGATTGTAACAAAATCCCAGACAATGTCAGCGATTGTAACAAAATCCCAGACAATGTCAGCGATTGTAACAAAATCCCAGACAATGTCAGCGATTGTAACAAAATCCCAGACAATGTCAGTGATTGTGACAAAATCCCAGACAATGTCAGTGATTGTGACAAAATCCCAGACAATGTCAGTGATTGTAACAAAATCCCAGACAATGTCAGTGATTGTAACAATATCCCAGACAATGTCAGTGATTGTAACAAAATCCCAGACAATGTCAGTGATTGTAACAAAATCCCAGACAATGTCAGTGATTGTAACAAAATCCCAGACAATGTCAGCGATTGTAACAAAATCCCAGACAATGTCAGCGATTGTAACAAAATCTGAGACAATGTCAGTGATTGTAACAAAATCCGAGACAATGTCAGTGATTATAACAAAATCCCAGACATTGTCAGTGACAGCTACACTGATGTAATGGATTTATGACAATTTTACAGACTTGGCAAGTCATTAGGAGTTTTTAAAAACATCGCCCCTATGGTTTTGACCCCCCCCCCCTCCCCTACATACACACACACATACATGCGCGCACACACATACAGAGGCGACATGATTTAACTAGAGATTTTCAATGTTAGCTAAATTATCATGTAGGACCCATTCATGAAGATGAGACATTTTCAGGAATGTGTGTGCACGACTGGGAGTGGTTATTTATAAAGTCAGAGGTCATTCAGCATCAGTTATTTATACAGTGAGAGATTTAACATCAAACAACTGCAAATAAAAATAGTTGAAACAAATAAGTGAAATATGTTGACCACACTGTTATACAAACTCTTTGAAAGAAAAGTTGAAAGCAGGCGGGCAAGTCACAATAACAAATCAGATAAGAAGATAAAATAAACTAGTACTAACATTTAAAAAAAAAAAATTTGCTTTCCTCCGAACTTCAACCTGATATTATGGCGGCCATAAAATATCCTTATGGGGCTCAGGCATATGTAAAATGTGGACTTTCTGCCAAGGAACAAATCGCGACAAAACTAGGATTACTTGACAATTTCAAGTGACGCAACATTGCAGAAGATAGTAGCAGACGATATTAATAGCGACCGTTGACAATTTAGAGCGTTTCTGCAGACGATAGTAGCAGACGATAATAGCATGCGCTAAACGTGATTAAACTCACTGAGCGTATCCCTTGCGCCGCTACGTGCGGATAGGGGGCTAAACTAGGTGACTGGGACTCACGAGCAAATTAACTGGAGGAAGTTGCAGGAGATGCGGTAGCTGCTGCTCATGAGTCCCAGTCATCTAGTTTAGCCGCCATCCGAGCCGTGCGTAGCGGCATGGGGGATACCCTCGGCGGTGAAGCATAGTCACAGAAACAGGTCCACAAGTAACATATCGCTGAGACCCTGTTAGAGCATTTGTTTCGTTATATGGAGCCGGCATATTTTTAATAGAACTGAGCCCCGTAAGGATATTTTATGGCTGCCATAATATCGGAACTGAAGTTCGGAGAGCCAATAAATTTAATCGGTGCTGTTGCAGAATATAACAGTGAGATCGTCTGAGTTAATCACTGTCACTTATGAGGAGGTCCAGCCAGTCAGTCTGTCTCCAGGACCAGGGCTGGCCGCAGTTGAACCCCAGCAACAATACTGTCTCAAGTCTGGATTCAACACACTGACTGATGTCATGTCAATGTTTTTACGCTGATTATTCCACACACCCCTGATTATCTTGATTTGATTTAATTTAATTTACTGCTTGAATTGAATATTCTAAAAATTATGGCAGCGGAGCGGTAATTACCATACACTCGACACCGCATAAATTACAACATAACATGGGTATTTACGGACACACACACACATATATATGATTATGTGAATATTTAAATAGGCTGAGCTGATAACCAAAGATTTCAATTTCAAAGAAATCTACGACTACGTTCTACGACTGTCAGTTGACTATCTTGTTGAGTTGACACTAAATTTAATATCTACACATATCCAACAAGTTTAATTAAATTATTGGTACAGTACGATAAATTCAAAATGAGCAGCTATATTATAACAATACGCATCATATACAAGGTGTCGTTGGTAAGTAAATGTTTACCATAGCTGTTGCAGCCAGTCAGCAGTAAGAGCTCACATTGTCCAACGGGGGCTGCCATTTTTTCTGTTTATCCTGGGCATGGCAATCTTTTCTCTCAGAAGTTTAGAATTGCTAGACTACTGTTTTCAACTTTTTTTGTTGAAGAGAAGTATAGTATAAATTATAAACGAGTTGAGTTAAAAATTGACATCACAGCACTCGGGGCACTTCCATGCGTGCTCCGTCCTCGTCTTCAGCAGCCAGCGCAGAGTTCCAGTACTGATAGTACCGGTCACAGTCTGGTTATTTGTCAGTCTTGCCTTTCCTCTGAGTGTAGTGAGCCGGCTAGACCCTCGAGTTACACCCAGGTGCCTCATTCTCTCCAGGCCATAATAATCTTATTTCTCTACTGATTCCGTTGCTTGTTCCCAAAGAGACTTGACCACATCTGCCTTGTCATGTATCAATTCCCCACCCAGTGGTGCAGATCCAGCCAATCTGTCTGCCTCTTCATTACTCACTACGCCGGCACGTCCTAGAGAAAAGATTCAAAGTATGCTCACTACCCGTGATCATCCTAGCGAAGCTAGCCACTCCACTCGAAGCATCCCTGTCTTCGCCTATCTTAGCATGCTTTCAGAGTTACAATTACGACGTGTAGGCATCTTAGGGGAGTCTTAGAGTTAGATTAGGCCACCAATCTCCGTCTGTTCTCCCTGCACCTCCACAGCATCATAATTAGATCCATTTAAGGCTTATGTTTCTTTTTAATCGATGTTGTCTCCTCTAGATCCGTTGCGTTTTGACCCGGGACCTCAAGGTCTTGGCCTTTTCGGTCACGCACAACGGTCTTGACTGTAGAAAGGTTTGCAGCTGAGAGGACTTACCAGCTGAGTGTGCCCTATTCACCTGGCTAGACCCAGAGACTCAGAAGGGGGAACAGCTGGTGTGTTCCACTGCCCGAGAGTCTTAGCCACAACAGCTTTGAGTCTCCATGACTCCCACTGATTGAAGATTGTTGGAGGGACGGGGCTTTTGAACACGAGTGTAAGGTCTCCCGTGTCATTGAACGCTAGTGCTGATAGAAGATCGTTGAAGGGGCGGGCCCATTGAACACGAGTGTAAGGTCTCCCGTGTCATTGAACGCTAGTGCTGATAGAAGATTGTTGAAGGGGCGGGGCTATTGAACACGAGTGTAAGGTCTCCCGTGTCATTGAACTCTAGTGCTGATAAAAGATTGTTGAAGGGGCGGGGCTATTGAGCACGAGTGTAAGGTCTCCCGTGTCATTGAATGCTAGTTCTGATAGAAGATTGTTGAAAAGGGGGGGGGGCTATTGAACACGAGTGTGAGGTCTTCCGTGTCATTGAATGCTAGTGCTGATAGAAGCTCGTTGAATGGGCGGGGTATTGAACACGAGTGTAAGGTCTCCCGTGTCATTGAACGCTAGTTCTGATAGAAGATTGTTGAAGGGGTGGGGCTATTGAACACGAGTGTAAGGTCTCCCGTGTCATTGAACGCTAGTTCTGATAGAAGATTGTTAAAGGGGCGGGGCTATTGAACACAAGTGTGAGGTCTCCCGTGTCATTGAACTCTGGTTCTGATAGAAGATCGTTGAAGGGGCGGGGCTATTGAACACGAGTGTGAGGTCTCCCGTGTCATTGAACTCTGGTTCTGATAGAAGATCGTTGAAGAGGCGGGGCTATTGAACATGAGTGTAAGGTCTCCCGTGTCATTGAACGCTAGTGCTGACCAGGGCTGCTAATGAGACTTTGTTTTGTTTAAAAAAAAAACATTACATAAGCAAAGAATTACAATTTTAAAAAGTAGTTTTATAGTTACGAAACGAAACATTTATCCACTCTAATATAATCATATATTTAAAAAAAAAAGTCATATAAAAACCTAGATCTGGGGAGGGGGGGTAGTATTGGTAACCCTGGTACTGATGGAAGACTTGAGAGGGCAGGGGCTGTTGAACGCGAGTACAAGGTCTCCCGTGCCATTAAAATCTGTCTCTAGTATCTGAAGAGGGTTGCAGTGAAGGGAAGGGGATGGTGTACACGTTGCTGCTGATAGAAAATTGATGAGCGTTGAGGGCACGAGGGAAAGAACTTCCGTGCCATGGAACTTTAGTACTGATAGAAGATTGATGAGCGTTGGGGGCACGAGAGAAAGAACTTCCGTGCCATGGAACTTTAGTACTGATAGAAGATTGATGAGCGTTGGGGCCGCGAGGGAAAGCATTTCCGTGCCATGGAACTTTAGTACTGATAGAAGATTGATGAGAAGGGGAGCTGGTGTCCACAAGTAACAGAATTCCTGTGCTTTTCAAGTCTGGGGACATGACTGATTCGTGGAATGATGGCGTGAGTGAAGTGACAGTGGCCTGGTGATGTCGGTCTGTCGGTCTGTCTGTCTGTATGTTTGCCTGCCTGCCTGCGTGCGTGTGTGCGTGTATGCGTGTATGGATGTATGGATGTATGTGTGTATGTATGTGTATGTATGTGTGTATGTGTGTACATACGGCTATCTTGCATGGCTGTCTGTATCTAAATGTCTATATATATATATATATATATATATATATATATATATATATATATATATATATATATATATATTATATACATACTGAGGGGGTGGCCAGGGCATGGTTGGTGTGTACAACTAACATCATTAACCTGAATTGACCAAGGTCCGCCGCTGCCTATTTTGGCTCCTGTTCATGCTCCTATTTCATTGTGCGTTTCTGAGTATTGTAGCTGCCATATCTGTCGAGCTAGGTTTGCTGCGTGTTGCTTGTAGGGCCCCATCTTAGTTTAGTGCACTTTATGTTGTCGGATTATATGTTCTCTGCCACTGGTTGCTGTCCTCTGTTTCGTTTTCAGAATGTATCTGCTATTGTGATCGCTCTGTTGGAGTCAGTCATGTGGTTTGTTCCATCGTGTGATGTGTCGGTGGTTTCCACTACACGGTATATACGAGTAGGACCTCAGTTGTTGTCTTGGTCTTGCTCTGGCACTTGTAGTGTTCTCTGTAGGCTGTCTTCATCCGCGTCTCCATATGAGATATTCCATGGCGTCATCATAATGCTGGCTTGGTAAGACTTCCTCTGGTCTAGGAGAATCTTATTTTTACTCAGCTTCTTTGTAGAACCTGTAAGCCGCCAGTCGAAGTTGTTCTTTATGCCACTTCTTTATAGGGTCAGCTCTCTTTGATGGCTGTTCTCATCGTCTCTCTGCACTGTTGCAGATATGGACATCCCAAGTATCTGGCAACATGTGGTCCAGAGCTATTTGGGCACTTCCTATTTGTGTTGGGCTTTCGGAAATGGTGCCATCTTGCACGTATTCGTACTCTTGTTTTATGTGTAAATGGTGTCATCTTGCACGTATTCGTACTCTTGTTCTATGTGTAAATGGTGTCATTTTGCACGTATTCGTACTCTTGTTTTATGTGTAAATGGTGTCATCTTGCACGTATTCGTACTCTTGTTTTATGTGTAAATGGTGTCATTTTGCACGTATTCGTACTCTTGTTTTATGTGTAAATGGTGTCATCTTGCACGTATTCGTACTCTTGTTTTATGTGTAAATGGTGTCATCTTGCACGTATTCGTACTCTTGTTTTATGTGTAAATGGTGTCATCTTGCACGTATTCGTACTCTTGTTTTATGTGTAAATGGTGTCATCTTGCACGTATTCGTACTCTTGTTTTATGTGTAAATGGTGTCATTTTGCACGTATTCGTACTCTTGTTTTATGTGTAAATGGTGTCATCTTGCACGTATTCGTACTCTTGTTCTATGTGTAAATGGTGTCATCTTGCACGTATTCGTACTCTTGTTCTATGTGTAAATGGTGTCATCTTGCACGTATTCGTACTCTTGTTTTATGTGTAAATGGTGTCATTTTGCACGTATTCGTACTCTTGTTTTATGTGTAAATGGTGTCATCTTGCACGTATTCGTACTCTTGTTTTATGTGTAAATGGTGTCATTTTGCACGTATTCGTACTCTTGTTTTATGTGTAAATGGTGCCATCTTGCACGTATTCGTACTCTTGTTCTATGTGTAAATGGTGTCATCTTGCACGTATTCATACTCTTGTTTTAAGTGTAAATGGTGTCATCTTGCACGTATTCGTACTCTTGTTTTATGTGTAAATGGTGTCATTTTGCACGTATTCGTACTCTTGTTTTATGTGTAAATCCAATTCTAATTCTTTTAAAGAAAAAATCAGCCACGTTCAACCTGCTGCAAGCGAGCTAAAGCTGCCAACAGTCTTCGGCTATATTTGTGGTCTTGTTTATTTGTGCCACATTCGTGGCTAAAGTTTTGATATTTTCGCCGTCTATGGGCTTAATGCTTCTTTCTTTTATGTCATACCGCTACCACTATCGTTTAAAGTTTTAAAATTGTGAGTATTTTACTTTACCGAAAAGTACTGAAGACAGTTTTTGGGTTTGGATAGACTCGAAATGCGAAAATATTCCGCGTGTGACAGTAATGGTCTTATAGTTGTCTTCCTGCAATAAAAACTGGTTAATCATATCATGGAGATGTGTGTGAAATGTTAGGTGGAGACTCACAATGATTCTATCCGTCGTTTGTTAGAGTGTGGTCTGATTGTGTCAGTCTGGGTAGGTAGCTAGACTCCGGTGTACGTATGTAAATAACAGATCCATGAAATACGCATCAGTCTCACCAGTCTTTACCATCGTACCATCGGAGGGGGAAGGGGGGGGGGGGTGGAATTGGCGGTTAGGTGCTCTGGTCCAGTCAGTATAGATTTATTGTCTTCCTTATTTGCTGTCAGTCTTATCCTATTGTGAGTCCCACCAGTCATGTTTATGTTAGATGCAGGATGTAGAATAAGATGACTATAGGTATGAATCCCCGAGGTATATGGATGAACACCATCAAGTGTATGCATACATACAAACGAGTATCCATACCCTCACATATGTTTGCGCTCTCTTTCACACATATCCATGCATGCAGAACCATATGGATACATACCTGTTTGACATTTCCTACACTTGCGTTCTCTTGCATACCTGCCTATTAATGCAATC